ACATGTCAGATAGAACAGCCGTGTGTTGGGTGACCCAAGTCCCGAGTAGCGCACACAGGCCCTGGATTGGTGAGGAGCAAGTTCGGCAGAAAACAAGCAGAGGAGCAATCAAATCTTTCTCTCATGCACTCGTGCCTGCCCACTGACCTAGATCTTGCATCCTGCTTGTGCGAGGAGAAAGGTGGTGGTCGATGCATGTACTGTGGTGGTGGCTATAAACTCTCTCCGAGCCTTGCACACATGATGGCACGTTTTCCGCACGTTTTTGGACAACTTCTTTGCTTCAGAACGTGTAGTGTAGCAGAAAAGAAGAGAGAACCAGCTGTGATGCAATTTCTTTGGTCTCAGGAAATACTTCTGGCCACATGAACTTGGTGGTACGGACTGGGGAGGGATACGGTTTGGGAGAATGTGTGGAGGCTGCTTGGTAGCTGGTTGCTAAGTGTTGGCAAGCTGATAGCGTCACCTGTAAGATATATTGTAGACTAATTATATGCAGCTTTAAGCTCAGACTGCAGAGACTGTCCTTAAGCATTTATCGTTTTGAAAAGCGCGTTTAGACTGTCCTTCCAGATGACATGGGCTTTGGTAGAGGAGCTTCTCTCCAACGTTTGCTCACGCTGTGAATGCTGCAAAGATTTGGAAGAAGCCCTCGGGCCCCGAAGGCGGTGTGAGAGGGTCGATTGGGGTAGGGTAGTGCCTCTAGAATTGAATGAAGAGCTAACAGCTGCTTAAAGGTCAGCAGGTCTGCTCCTGTGGGATGTTGGATCAATTGATGACGGATAGGGAAAGTCGACAGGTCCTCAGGAAGCATGATCAAAGAGTCATCGACTGGCTTTGGGTTTCTACACCTGGGCACACCCTTTGTGACACCAGCTGTTTGGTGATGAGTTGCAGCTTAGTACCATTTGCACCTAGAACCTTTATCACAAGCAGGTTAATGGATCAGCGGATTGGTCAGACGGTTGGCCCAGGCGGTTTTTCGTTGGAAGCCATGAAGCAATTTCTTACCTTGGGGCAGTTACAGGACGTCTCCAAGAACCTGGTGAATTTCTGGAGCAAACCTGGGTGTGGGTTGCGGAGCAAGCCGATTCCCATTCCTTGGGGCACTTACTCAGATCCTTCTCCTTTTGGCAGCGCTCCATGGGATTCACGTCTGCCAGGTGGGGCGAAGTCTTAACGTCCTCGCCGGATGAAGCGGCAGAGGCAGTGATTTTCCGGCACCAGAGAGCACTGGAGCGGCCGTGGTTTGTTGGTGCAGAATGCGCATTCTGCATGGCCAGGTCTGGTGGGAAGCACAACGGAAGGCCAATATGCTGCGAACCGAGTCGGTTGCTAGATTGGAGTCAAAGAATGGCAGATAAAGAAACAGATCATGTTCACGCAGCTTCCCTTGCTCAGCTTTTCAACAACTGCAAGCAACCCAAGTTGTCCTCTCTTCAAAAGTGGCTTGCTAAGGGAAACGGTCAGCTTCCTGAGCAATCAGCAGCCCCCTCCATGACCTGCATGCGATTGAACCAAAAAGAAGCCGATTGAAGAGATCTGCCTGATCGGGGTGAAAAGTTGATGCCGAAACGGCTTTGATGCATCCCAAATCTCAAAACCTGAAATCAAAGGGACATGGCTTGTTTGCCTTTTTGTCAGCCTTCAATTGTTGGTGCAACACGGTAAATTGCTTGCTAATATTTCGAAACATGATTCTTTTCAGCATGCCGCAGCAAGGCGACCTACTGCCGAAAGAGTCTTTGTGCTCAGACTCAAGGTTTGGCTACTCGGTGGACTTGCCTTGCCAGCACAGCATTCACAACACTTGTGTTGCACCACATGTGTTTTCGTAAAGTATTCCCAACAAATCGACTGCAAAGTAGGGTTGTGCCAGCCATGGCCAATTTCATGGACGAGCTGGCACCAGGCTCTCGCCAGTTTCTGAGAGTTTTTTGCACCCATTGCTTTGATTTGACAGAGAACGAAATAGGAGCGTTTGACGTGTGTGTTTTTTTGATCCTCATAGCTTGATCCCAGACACTGTCCAGAAGGAAATCCACAAAAGGTGCGGACGGATGCCATAGGTCCGCCCGTGAGGGCGGCTGTGGTGTGGACCAGTGGTGCCTGCCTGGTCATCTCTCCCTTTCCCTTCCTAGACGGGCTGAGGCCACACTTGGCGGGATCTGTGCCAAAAGGAGAAGCCCATGGTCGGAACGGATGCGTTGCTCATGGGGACTTGGAGGCGGCTCATGTGCACTGGCGCAGCCACCGCGCGAATGCGACCGCGCCACAGATGTCACACATGGTCAGGCACTTTGTCGCATCGGGTACGGATAGGTTGGTAAATGTGATAGAATTGGCAACGGGTCAAGCCCAGGAACAAAGTGAACTACCATGCGTGTCAAGTTACAAGGGCTTTCGGGTGCACTTTTCATCGGAAGCCACTCCTACACTCCGCTTGGAATATCACGAAAGCCAGCCGGTAGGCAGGGCCTGAGGTTGTTGGAGCGACGAGTAAAGGGGGTGTGGGGGGTTGTGGCCCCGAGAAGGCCAATTTCGGAGAGGTGAACCCAGAGCCTGGTGGGGGACAGCGAAGAAAAGAGGGGGCCACTTGGTAATGAAAAAATGAGTGGTTTGATGGGTGTTGTGATGCCGGTGATGTAATTGACGGCGAAGAGTGCATCATCAGCATCACGAGGGGCTCAGGGGGCCATGGAAAGAGAATAGATTGTAGCTGCGGCTAAGCTTAGCGTTGCTGCCGCCCGGACTGAAGAGGGCACTCCCTATGTGGTGGGAGTTCACGTGGATTGGGGGCAGGAGAGAGAAGAGAGTGCATGATGCGTTGAGGGCCCGCGAGAGAGCCGAACTGAAGAGGGCACCCCCTATGTGGTGGGAGTTCACGTGGCTTGGGAGAGAAGAGATTGCAGCGGGCAAGCGTTGGAGGGGGAAGGTCCTGAATAGCTTAGGGGTGCCCTTTTTTACCCGTAGCAAGGTCTAGTTGCTGGACTGAAAAGGGCACCCCATATGACAGCCCCCAAAGCTGAGAAGCACTTCTCCCGTGGGTCGACAAAGCGTCCGGAAAATGGACACTCCACACTCGAGCAACACTGTGAATCGTGGACATAGACCATAGTCTTGAGTTTGTGCAGCCTCCTTGCTCTACCAATCACATGTGTAATCTTGTGCAGTTATTGAACTATTTTGTACATATGAGACTGCATATTGCATCCATACCACAGAGGTTGGCAGTTTGGCGCCATTTGAAGTGGCCAGCTCTTCCTGGAAACCATAGCACAGCCGTCAACTCATGGACCAACACACCATACCAAACCTTCCCCATACTATAAGGGCTCCTCCTTGTCCACTCATATATAGAATTATATGTATGTGTATATATATATGTCCGTTCCGAAAGCCTGCCGATAGCCTCGCCGACGACCGTCTCTGGTCACTCATTGCCAACACGCAGCCGACGAACTCACATAACAGTACATCTTTGAGGGTGCCCTTTTTCACCTCCACAACACTTCTGCACCCACGCGAAAAAGGGCACCCCCCTTTCAAATCTACCGTCTATTTCACCTCCTATCGCGCACTGTACCTGCGATGCCAACTTCACCCCATTCACGTACTCTTTACATAGTGTTAGCCTATCAGTTCATCTTGCACACTCACGTCGCTCCAATATCAACCTCACCACTTCCAGCTACTCTTTGTCCACTCTACCTACACACACAGATATATATATATATATATATCCTCACCTACCCTACCCATAGCCTCGCACATGAACCCCCACCGCCGTCTCTGCTCACTGATTCGCAACACGCCGCCGGCAAGCGCGCCTCACTTCCTGAGGGGTGCCCTTTTTCACCTCCAAATCCCCCCTGAACTGGGGCGAAAAGGGGCACCCCCCCTTCTACACCCTGTCATTGTGGCTGCGATGTCAACTTCACCCCATGAAATTAATCTTTGCCCGATGTTACCCCATCACTTCCTCTTGCACGCCAAGTCTTTGCCCGGGCCTACCCCGAGGGCACCCCTTAAGCCAGAGGCTGGCTTTCGTCCCCTCCAGTCTCAGGTTTTGGAATATATACAGGCGGGTGTGGTAGGTTTGGCATGTAACATCAAACAGAATGGTCTTCTAAATGTGGTAGGGCTATCAATAATCCTGGCTTATGTAACTCAATTGGTATAAGAATATCAAGGAATAGGGTTATGTCTAGGGTAACTCGGGCTCTGAAGATCCGAGTCTCAGTTGAGCAATGTGCACAAACGTCCTTTCTAGTAGCCAAGTGTATCGCCATTGGTAGCAAGTGCATCGCTACTAGTAACAAAAATGATCCTATATTATACTACAGTAGTTATTTTGCTACTAGTAGTAATTAATGCACTTGTTACTAGTAGCGATGCACTTGTTACTAGTAACAAGAGGCTAGTACACTCAAGTCGCCACACCTTTTTGCCGCCAGGGAGGCCATCATTGCAGCTGTGGCCTGTGAGAAGGTACCACCTTCGCGACCGCCACGACCTTCAATTCAAGGGGTTGTGAGTTGGCAGTGCATCTGGTGCACACTGGAACTTTCAGGCGATCTAAAGCTTCCAAGACCCCCTGATTTGCAACGACACATTTTCGGAGCCGACTCGCCATGATAGGACTTCAACCCATTCATATCCAGGTCATCAAACAGGATGGCTACTAATTTGGCATTGTCTCAGATGCAGGGTTTGGCAAGGATTCTCACCAATTTCACAAACCTGTATATAGGAATCAACTACCCAAGCACAACAGTGGTTCCCAAGTCATAGTGAGCAGTTCCTGAATGCCGACAATCCATCTGGTCAACTTGATCAAAACTAAGTTGCAGTTCACCCAAGGCCGAAATCAACATCCTCGAGCCGTCCGCCGTCCTCGAGCCGTCGTGCCCTCGTGCCGTTTCACCGTTTCAGCTCGCCAGGCGGGACGAGCTGGACGCTATGCTGATGGACCGGCAGGGCAGGTCTTGGATTTCTTGATGGAGCAGGGTTTCTCAGATCGGAGGCTTTTTTGGGGTCGAAAGGTGTAGACTGTGTGTTTCAGAGAGATTTCTTGGTGTAGCAGTGCAGCTCTCTGTATGTAGATTGTTGCAAATTGTTCAAAGGTCTCGTGCCGATGAGTCTGTGGCCATCCTGACCTAGGCTGCTTTGCAGGTTGTCTGAAACATCCCACCATGGCTCCTCCAGTGGATATGAATAAATTTTGCCAGCTATCTCCACAAACCATGTTCCTCTTCTTGATGGAAAGGAAGACCTTCCCGGCTGTTCTCATCTGAGGCGAGGCTACAGCAAGTTCACAGCTGCGGCTGAGAAAACAGAGGAAGCTGCTCACAGTGGGCGCATCCGGCCGGCAGGTTGGGACCAGAAGTTGGGACCATCAATGTTTCCTCAGTTTCCTCTTTATCTATTATTTTGGTTTGAGTTTTTCTGAATGTTTTGGAGCTTTCGGTCCTTATTTTTCAATCTTAGAATGGAAGGCGGTGGCAGTGGTGGTGGCAGTGGCGGCAGTGGCGGCGGCGGCAGGCATGTGGGTGCCCGCTGTACACTTCACATGGGACCGTTAAACCGTGCTGCAATGAATAAAGCAATGAAGTACTGGTAGCAACTGTTCATTCGATAGGTTCCGGTGAAATTCTCAAAGCTTATTGCGTGAAGATAGCAAGTTAACGACGATAAAGATTCAACACTACCAGGTCATTGTCATGGGGCTGTGAAGCAAACCCAGGGGGTGGGGCCATTGCTCACAATGGTGGCTTGTAAGGAGTGTATGGGCACGACAACTACAAGTTGTAACAGAAGAATCATGAATAGACAGAGTCCCTCGACAGAGTCCCTCAACGGAAATGGTCCCTCGTTTGGGTAGCGGTCCCACCAAGACTATCAATACATTACAGTACATTGATTGTCTTCCTTTCTGGTCAACTTCGTCCTGAACACAGATTCAATAGCTTAGGGCCTTCGGGTGTTGTCTCAGATTGTAGTGTGCCTTTGAGAGGCCCATGTGTCAGACCCTCAGCCTGATCCAAGATCCAATGAGTCATTGCTTCTCCATTGGACAGGCGCTGTGAGCATTGCCCCTTTGAGGATCGTTGTAAAAAGAATAGATCGGTTACGATGAGGATTGATACAACTCACACCGTCTGTGACATTGATCATCACAAACATATATATTTTCAAGTAGCAGCAGTAGCGGCAGTAGCAGCAGTAGCAGCTGCAACGGCAGCAACAGCTTTGCCCCCCTTGGTCATGCCCAAGGTCCACATGGTCCCAGTTGCTATCGAAAGAATCCGGAGCACTTCAAGGTCTAGAGGGCCTGGTTGAAGTGTGCAAAGGGTTTGTGGGGCAGCGTGTGCTGCAGCGCATGGGAAGAGCAGAAGAGCACACACGTGATCGACTCAACAGCTGCACAAGAATGATCAATAATGTTTAGAGTATGCTTTCAGGCTTGGACGGAACAAGGCACGTTTGTTGACTTATCACAAGTTTGCTGCAGCTGGATTCAACCATGCGCCAGGAGTACTCCCACCCGTGGCATGAGGGCAAGGAGCGGAATGGGCGCAGGTAGTCATCCTTTGACAGTGATTTTAGTCATTGAAGACCAGCTGGACATTTGGCCAGAAGATGTAGATCAGACCACATTCTTCACTCTCCTTCACATGGAGAGGAGGACAAGTGGGAGTGCCTGGATCTCAGCATGAACACAGTCATGAGTTCGCAGGCTCACATGAGGCCACCAATATTTGGCATGCTTCTGGGCGACTCACGAGTCCTCTGGGGGGTGCAAGCTTTGGCAGCTAGATAGGTAGAGTTCTTCAAAACTTGTCAAACCACAGCGGCACCTTTCCCAGAGGAGTTGTGGTCTTGCATCTATGAAGGCTAGAGGTACTGTATGTACGCTTTGACCAACAGTGAGTGGCACGGCCGACGCATTAGTCAGGCCCACGCTGCACGTACCACAACAAACCTTCGCACCCGCAATGTGCACCTTGGCCCAAATGCCGAATGTCACTTGAGGCACTTGTGTTCATACACATGTTAAATATGTATAGAGAGAGAGAAGCGCACAGAGTTTTTGAGGGAGAGCTTGAAATCAGGGCTCTTTTCAAGGTCCGAGCCGGAGTTAACTCTAGAACTGTAGAGCTTGTTTGGAAGTGGCGAGTGGATGATTTTATGGCGAAGCTGAGCATGGACACGTGGTTCCACTTAGCGACAACCGAACTCCTTCAGTCTCCTCCAGACTGTCCCCGAACTGGAGTCGGCAAATTGAGTCCGACCGGGCCAGACACAGAAAAGCGCGCTTTTCAGAAGTTTGGAGCGGTGTGGTGATGGGGAATAAGGCTCAATAAGGTGCAGCTCGCAGTGTTGTGTCTTGTGTTCTTTTGGGTCACTCAATTGGTCTTGGGGAGACTTTGCCCGCCCGAAAGGGACCGAAAGCGGTATTCCAAACAAGGAGAGTTGATGTCTCCTTTCCTCCTTTTCCGTCCGCTTTGCCGAGGAAATGTGTGGAGGTGGGAGGCCTGGCGGTTCTCCATCGGGTGGGTCTTCAACGCTTCAGATCAGGCACCGTTTTTTGGTGTATTTCAGGGAGGTGGAGAGTTGGGAGACTGGGGAGAGTTGAGATGGAAAATAGAGACAGCCATGATATTTCAAAAAAGACACATGTGGGGCAAACATTCCGAAGCAAGGTGTGGCCGCCACGGCTGTAACCACGTTGTCACTGTGGCAGTGCCTCCAGGACCGATTCCGGGGTTTGGGGGACGTGCGTTGGCTGCGGAGCCCCTAGTAGTAAGGCCAGGAGCTACGTTCGTAGCGCCTTTGCAGTGATGCCCTTTGTTCCTAGTTGGAAGTCATGTTGCCACATGTTGCAACCACCTGTAACACCAAAAAGCATGACGGTCCACCATTCATTTCAGAGTGAGCAACAGACCAAAATCGTTCGCGTCAGCCCAGTAGGCCCTACCGAAAGTTCAAATCATGCAAAACTCGGGCCATGCCCAAGTCGGATGCTCAGGCACTGCAGCAGGGGCCAGGGTGCAAGCCAAATGCCCGCAATGCGGATGCACCAACGAGGCCGGCCGAAGATGTGGCACAAACAACCGAAATGGACCGGGTCCAGTTTGACAAATTAGATGTTTGCAGCCACCAAGTTGTTGCAATGGCCCACCCTTCCCCTGTCATCTAAGAATTCCTTTCCCAAGCCTTTATACCAAAACATGGAACAACTGGAACAAATTCCAAACAAATGCCAATGATTCGGTGATCCCCAATCAAGACGCATTGGAGTTCAGGTGCAACTCAGTGTGGCCCAAGCATAGACTTCTGGAGTGAACCCAGTGTGGGCGAATCTCCCGGTCGCGGTTCAATCCGACCAAGAGTGCGCAGAGTTTTCGCAAGATGACCATGGAATTACGGCGTTCAATGACCTGCAACGACTCATCGTTGGAAAATAAAATGGTCATTGAGCAGGAGGAGCTTCGGGCACCCACAGCGGCAGAGATGGGTTTTGACAAAGAGCCCTTTCGATTGGGTTCACTGGCCATAGTGGTACTTGGAGCAACGGGGGATCTTGCCAAAAAGGAGACCTTCCCTGCGCTGTTGGATTTACTGGCTCATGAATATCTACCACCTCAGGTGGTCATTTTTGGTGTGGGGCGCACCAAGCAAGACACCGGGACTTTTCGCGAGTGGCTTCAGCCGTGGCTCGTCAAGTCCTTTGCTGGACAAATGAAACGTTGCAAGGAAGCAATGCCAAACTTTTTGAAGAGGCTCACATACTTTTCTGCAAACTATGATAGCCAAGAAGACTTTGCTCGCCTGGCCTTGACTTTGGAGGCTGAAGAGACCCAAATGTTCCTAGAGGCCAGTGGCAAGGCAGAGGTACCATCGGAAGCAAACCGAGTGTTTTACTTTGCCATTCCACCTTTCGCCTTTTTGGCAGCAGCATCTTCCATCAAGGCCACCTGCTTGTCTAGCTCAGGGTTCAATCGCCTGATCATTGAGAAGCCCTTCGGACATGATTTGAGCTCAGCGAAGTCCTTGGCCAAAGACCTTGGGGCTTTGTATGAAGAGAAGCACCTGCTGCGGATGGACCACTTCCTGGGTTGCTTGGCTAGCTAGTTTCTTAGAGATGCCATTTCTTCTCGAGACAGTTTTTAGCACCACCAACTTAGGGAACAACTATTCTCATTTGGAAGATCTCCGAGGGATTCTGTCTTCGTGATGTGGTGCCACTGGTGCCAACTCAGGCTATGAGATCTGCCAGAACATTCTTTCCGTTCGCTTTGGCAATGCCTTCCTGGAGCCACTTATGAACAATCAACATGTGGCAGCAGTACGCATCACCCTCAAAGAGGACTTCGGAACGGAAGGACGAGGCTGGATGTTTTCCTCAAAAGAACAGCAGAGTTTTGTTGGGGTGAGATGAGATTGGGCGACTTCCCGTCGGTGTGACCGTCCCAAAAGAGTCAGGGGATTTCTGCTCAGGCTATCGTTGCCCGGTCGTTCGGCTCAATTGGCATGTCCGGAGGTTCCTGTCGGTCCCCTATTCAGGTGGCTATTTCACCCATTATGGCATCATCAGAGATGTGATTCAAAACCACTTGCTGCAAATGCTTACCTTGGTGGCCATGGAAAAGCCTTGCAATGTGGGAGGAGACGTTCGTGATGCAAAGGTGGCTGTGTTGAAGGCTATGATGGACATTGACCCAGAGGACCCCGCAGGGCTCGGTCGCAGCACCATAACACAACAACTTACTGTAAGCTAGATTAGTCTATATATATATATATAGAGTCTATAATATTTGCATTTGGATTTACAAATTAGAAGTCAGAAGCTCACTGGTCGTGGGGAATATTGCATCATTTAGACCGTATGAGTTCAAACCCACAGACCGCCTTACCTTGAAGGAAGTGGTTCTTGGTCAATTCACCTCAGGGAACGGCAAGCCTGGTTATCTTGAAGATGACTCCATAGCAGAGAAAGACCGTGAGAAGGCCAAGCACTGTGCCACCTTTGCCCAACTGGTCATCCGAATTGACAATGATCGCTGGTGGGGTGTCCCGTTCATTGTTCGAGCGGGAAAGGGCTTGGAAGAGAGCAAGTGTGAGGTGAGAATTCAGTTCAAGGAACGCCATAGAGATCCAAGACTCTTCCCGGAAGCTTGTCCTCCAAGGAATGAATTGGTGATGCGAGTCTCTCCTCATGAAGCAATCTATTTGAAGTTCAACATGAAAACACCCGGTCTTTCTACCTCAGTAACTACCACCGAGTTGGATCTATCCTACAACCACCGCTACGAAGAGGTCTACCGGCCTTTGGCATACACGCGCTTGATCTTGGCAGGTGTGCGGGGTGAGCATGAAAGCTTCGTCAGAGACGACGAACTCATTCGGGCATGGGAGCTTTTCTCGCCCTTGCTCGAAAAGATCGAGGACGGCAAGAAGGAGGTTTTGAAATATCCATTCGGCAGTCGTGGCCCCGCGGAGGCCGATGAGGTGCTGTCCAAGTTCAACTTTATTTGGAACAAGACTTATGCCTGGAAGGCTCGATAACTGTAAGATAGCTGCCGCTACTGATCACAAGTGTCAGGTGGACTGTATTGGTCCACAAAAGCGGCTCAGATGCTTTGAAACAATGGCCGGTTTTGAAATCCATGTCAGGCTTCTAGTTCGTCAGCTTCCTGCAGATTTGAATCGTTTTTTCTCATCACTGGTCCGTTTCTTCACATCTTAATTAATTGCAACTTGCCGTCCTTTCCAGGCGCCAATGCCCTTCTCTGCCTCTGGTATGGATCCAAGTCCCTCGCCAGCTCCACACATGGGGGGAGCTGCTCCTCGCCCATCAGGCCGGAAAAGAGGGGCAAACTTGATCACGTCTGTCTGGAGAACATGATCGAATGTACTTCTTTTTCTAAAGCAATTTTATCACGTCCTTCCTTCATTTTTTGGAGGCACCTACTGTATCAAGTAAGGGACAGACTTGTTCGCTCCTAGCACTAGATCTACTAGGATGCTAATACATATGGACGCAGGATAGCTCACGCTTCAAGGAAGCTCCCCCGCCTGAGGCCGGGTAGAGCTTCCTTGATGAAGCGCTCACACTAATGATTTGGTTACTAGATGTTTGCACTGGACCGCTTGTGGAGTTCATTATTCATTTCAGTAGCCCTTCATGCGGCCTGTGCTGATGAACAGGCCGGCCTGTTCGTTGCATCCCTGGTCGGTCCCACGCCAGGTCGCCGGAAGGCGCTTTTGATTGGTGTGAACTACTTTGGCACCCGTGCAGAACTGTGGCTGACTCAGGTGGTCTTTCAGGGGATCCAGAAAAACTATGTGACTATCTCCAGAAGCCATGCAGTGTACCTGACAACCTACCGTTTTAGAGCATCGGAGTCTTTGGACCACCCTGAACGACGTTCTATGGGGCTCATTTTTGAGATATCTTAATAGCTTCTTGTTACTACTAGCGATGCACTTGTTACTACTAGCTTCTTGTTACTACTAGTAAGGCACCTGCTACTACTAGCGTGGCACTTGTTACTAGGCAGGTCAGGTCTGAGACTTCGGAACATCTTACGAAGCTTTTGGCTCCTTTCGGTCGAGGCGTGGATGCATTAACGACGTTCACAACCTTTACAGATTGCTGACAGAGACGTATGGATGGCCCGCTTGAATCTCAGCAACGCCAAAGTCATGGCTGTGATAATTACTGCTACTCACCCAAGCAAGGCCTTTGTATTTTCTGCACCATTTGATCGTTTTGATGCGACTCCGACCACTGATGATCTTGCAAGCGGAGCTTTGCACTTCTTGCGAACTACCTAGGGCCATTGCATCAAGACACTGACTGACGATGGTCGAGGAAATGGTGGCATGCCTACGTGGAATTCTTAGTCGCCACTGGGAGAGAAGTCATCGCTGCCGGGGCAGCGTTTTCTTAGTTGGAACTGGGGACGGGGACTTGGGGAAAACTGATTTTTTTCAAGCAACAGAAACCTTGCGCAGTGAGGCGCCAAAACATTGGCCAGCACATGAGCTGGTTGTCTGATGGTGCTCAGCCAGGAGTCTCACCAGGGGTCGCTGAAGCCTGTGTTATACTATGTATATAGGCCTAATACCACTGTTCTGGCAGAACGATGCCTCTTTTTTGAGCATCGTGGCAACTGAAGGGAATGAGCTGCAAGCTGCACAGAACACCTACCAACCTCCCACTTCTGCGAAGGTTCCGCAAACCTGCAGATCTCACTGCACATCTCGCTGCACATCTCGGTGAGGAGATGTTCTCTTCTTCAGCTTCTCTGGCCATGGTGCCGGGGAGCTCAGCTCCGTGAACTGGGGTGAACTGGGGTCCCGGGAGCTCGATGATCAATAAATGTCACGCACAGATGTTGCTGAATGTTTGTTCGTAGCCTTAGAGGTTGGCAACTTGATGCAAGTTGCTCAGATGCAGAGTTCGTGATAGTTGATATGACAACTTGTTCTGTGTTTTTTTTTTGCGTGAATAAGGAGTTTTCGTTGGCCCCCAAAAAAGGATTGTCATCTCTGATTCGGTCTGGTCTGGTCTTTGACCAGCATCGTTGCTGCTCGGATCCTGTCGGCCATCCAGCACCAACTCGGATCCAGCTAAGTACATAGTTCATTGTGATTTATGAATCCTCACAAGTAGGCACAAAACACAAGGCCGCTCACAGCTCTTCAGCCCCAAGGCGCAGAAAGAAGATCCTCATGGCTACGAGGAGGACGAACTTCACACCTGAACATGGGATGACAGCGGAACTTAGACCTCATCATACCTCATCAACTCAGACCTTGCGCAGTCTTAGGCTCGGTAGGTAGGTGCTTGCCTTCTTCGATGAGCAGTACCCTCGTACGGAAAAGCAGAGCTTCTGATCTGAACTCGACATTAGAATTTAAACACAGCATTGCACCTGAAGCCAGGATGGCATGAATGAGACGATTCTCCCGGTGGACTTTGAAAGAGCGCCATGTCTGTCCATGCAGTTTCCTCCCAAATGTTTACGTTTTTCTGTAGCGACTTTGCAACAATTTAAGGCTGGGATGATGAGCCTTGGCCTGCAGATAGCTTCACTGTTGAGGATTGTAGCAGATTCTATGAACTGTGGTGCTCCTGGCTCACTCAGTTGCACTGTAAAACAGAGTCCAAGTTTGATATAGAGTTGGCATGATTCTTTTTGTGCACACATGGGAAGCATATCTTTGCGAGCCTCTGCCTGAGGACCGATGATGAAATTAGCGACATCATAGTGAAGCGGTTGCCAGAAGGGGTGAGGCAGGTTTCCAGCAGAAGGTTCAATCCCGCTTGCACCGTGTGACATTCTTTGCTTATGGGCTTATAGGAGTCCTTTTTCAGGAACCTTGTACGTTCTTTTGGTGACATGCCCAAGCTTGCACACCAGTCTTGCATGAGCTTTCTAAAGTAGCCTTCCACCATGGTCATTCTTGAATCGACAGGCTTACTGGAGTCATGGACTGCTGTGATGACCTGAGGATCGACCCACACACGGGCGCTCAGCGCCGCGCGATTCGACCGAGGTCACAGCGGCACTGGCCTGGATCTTCCCTTCACGTGGGATATGAGACGAGGCATGTGGCGAGAAGAAGTCAATCCGCCTCCTGGAGAAGATGGAGAAGACATATAAAAAGTTTTTTTCTGTTAAAGCTTACTTTTGGCACATGTTTCACATTCTGTGTTCGGTTTTGACCCTGGAGGTGCACAGGTGATCGCACAGGTGATCGGTGATTGCCATTTATTTGTACTGGTTTTGATTTGATCATCTCGACCAACTACAGGATGTTTGAACTAGACCCCAGAATAGCATGATAGTTTTTGCTCCGATCTTGTGTAGAAGAATATGTGTATATATATAATTACACAAACATGTCAACCCGTGTCTTCTGAGCGGTGAAGCTGGCACCTCGCCAAACAAACCTCGCCCGAGGTTTCACTCCATGGGCGATGTTTTGATGTTCAGTCACCCGGCAGGAAAAGGGCGGGACGGAAGTCCGGCTTCTGGTGTTGGAAGTCGGGTTTTGAGAAAAACATTTGCTTTGCATGATAAAGAGCTTGGGCCCTGAAAGGAATAGATCGAAATAAATGGATCGAAGAAGTCTGCGTGGTGTCACGTGATTCGGCCATCCATTCTTCTTGCTGAGGTGGTTGTGAAGATGATGACACATCCTCAGATGCCGCCGGCATGTATGCCGCACCTGGCGGGGCTATGACGTGACCTGGCAGGAATCCCCAACTAGAACAGGTTCTGCAATGCAAGGCCTCGGCGTCGGCGTGCGACACTGGGTCCAACAGGTCGCACAACTGTTTATACACGCCCGGCCGTCCAAGGACTGCATTTTGTGATGTGCTCCGAAGAAACCCACGCCCGCATCTGCCTGAGTCATTTTGACATGGAGTTGGAGGAAGTCCTTCAGCATTCTAAGGATTTATCCTCAGCTTCTGCAGCTGCTGCATCAACATCTAAACAGGGGAGGCCTGCCAACATGTCGGCATCCTGCCCAAATGTGGTTCTGTTAGTTCTAGGCACTAATAGGCAAGTGTCAAAGGACCCTTCTTTGTGTGTTCAGCTTTCCTTGCTGACAGGCTTCTCCCAGCGGCCGGTTCTGAGCTCCACACAACAGTGGCTGGTCTGAAGGTCATGGAAGTTATATAGTAGATGTTAGGAGGTAAGCAACAGACACAGATAAATCTAAACAGACATTGATGGAAGTGTGGCTGCTTTGACAGAGCCCAACAGACACTGATACTCGATCATACTCGTAGAACCTTCGAGGGCCAAGATTGATGAGAGTCGTGTTTTTTAAAGCACATGTGCAGAGGCAGTCTGCAGCACAAGTAAAGCACCACAGATACACAGTGATAACCAGCCAGTCAGCTAGTCAAGTTGCTCAGAAGACAGCGCAACCTGGGCAACAATGCTCCTTTGAGAAATCAACTTGTCAAGACTCAGGATGCTGTTCAAACTCGACAGTTTTTTTTTTCGCAAAAGCGTCCTTCTTCACATACCCCTTCCTGAACATTAACATACATTACCGAGACATACCCCAGAAATCATCACCGTGCACATGCCGTTGGTCCCAGGTTTTCGCTCGACCGGCCCTTCGCCTTCGACGACATCCATCCGACACTTGGGAGACGATGGTCTGACCGGTGGGAAGCGATGGACCATCTCTGACGTTAAGACGTTTTTTTTGAGGATGAAAAAGAGGTACACCGTCCGGTATACCCACAAAATCCCACAAAGATATACCTCAATAAATCCTCAACAAATCTCATGCCTTGGATTTGCAAGAGTAGCAGCCATGCAGCATGCACATGCTGAATTGCCTGACTCCATTCATCCCAGCTTCCCACATAGCCTTGATTAGAGAAGGCACGATGCGGTGATGTTGTTTTGAACCACGAAGCACCACAGAACACTAGCGCACATTGCATGTGAGGGCTCTTCTTTTTTGATCCCTGCCGTATTCATGCCTTTGTTGCTTGATTCCCACCATCACAAAGACGAGCTTTAAATATCGTTTGATAAGCATGGACATGTTCTGGTTTGACCCTCTGTCTAGCATTGGTACTTAAGTTGTATATTCTTCGATCTATTCTCAATTGTGAATTCTTGAATCGCATTATATAAGTTCTTCGAACGGGATGAAAGAGTTGCCTTTCTCTCCAGGTATTTCTTTCTCAGCTACACCTGTTGACCTGTTGATATCTGTCCAAAGAACATCGAGAGAACACCTTCGGAACATCGAAGAGCGCTGTGGCTTCATCCTTCGGCAGGAAGGTTCGTCCTGCGGTGTCTTTGGTCATCTCGCTTGTTTTGTGTCGGTGCTAAAACAGGGACAGGTACTCATGGAGAAAGGTGGGGAGATGGAATACCTTTGACCGCGTAAAAGAAAGGAGCCCTCCATGCAAGCAGTTAGATTTGCATAAACATAAACCAGTGTACAGTACCATCCATCAGACTCAGTGAACGCTGCGAGAAGGATGATGACGCCATTGTTGAGATTGAATTTATGCAAAGGCCACTGTGAATGCTTTATTCGGACCAGCAACTCTCTCCTCAGGATTGAACCGCGTTAGAAATGAGGCCTTTGAGTATTGCAACTCGTTGATCAGCATTGGAGACTGTACTTTTGGCCATAGCTCCGTCGGTGACGGCGCCGAGATTGCAGCTCTGGCAAGAGCTCTGATCCCCAAATCTGCAGCGAAGTTGGGATGCTTTGCATTGCAGGAAGCCAAATGGCTGAGGTGACAATCGTGACTGTGCAAAGGCGTGACAGACATGTGCCCTTTTGTGCAGCTCCTTGTACTTGGGAAGAGATGACCTGTGCCCTCACTGTGCATGTAGGGAGATTGCTACTCCAAGTCCAATACTGCACCCAGAAAACCCTTGTGCATCAAGTGGATCAGTGCTGAGGAACATGAACCCTCAACTGGGTCGGATCTTCAGACAGAAATTCCCACCCAGGCCTGGGGTTGTAGGCAATGTAAGGAAACGGCCAATCGACTGGAAAATACTTTGAGCATCTTGAGCTTTCTATGATTTCTATGCACATAACATAATTGAACATCATTGAGTTTGATACAAATGGCGCTGCAATTGTTGAAACTTGCTGATCATTCGAAATTTTGGCTTTGAGTTGCTGTTTGATGACGTTTGAAGAAGATTCAGGCTTTCAAAGTTGACTGTGAGTCCAAGCAATCCCATGATGGGTGAACACAAGTGAACACCTTTACTTTTTGTTGCCAAGCTGGGGTACAGGCCTTTTGACCCAAATCCATTCAGATTGGGACCGCTTGATGACTTTTTTGATAGCAGGCCAAGACCAATGAGTGGTCCACTCGCAGACATGCTGGGTCCCTTGGGAATGCTCGCAGGCAGGACTGCTATACTACCTCAATATTTTACATCGTTGGTGTGCTTGCTGAATTGAGATGAGTTGACATGAACTGACAACAGACACTGACGGAAGAAGAAGAAGAAGAAGCTATGGCGGGCAATATCGTTCTAATGGAACACAAGCGCTCAGCAAGAAGACGGCGGTTCTGGCAGGTGGCCTTGTGGTTGGCGCATTGGTCCGGGCACCTAGCATCGAACACTTCACAATGCTTTTGGACGGGAGGGCAAGCTTTGTTTTGTGCTGAGGCCGGAGAGGTATTGGAAGGTGGGTTTGGTTTGCTTGGAGCCTTATTCTGAATGGTTATTCGGATACCATGTACAGATCCGATTCCGCAATGGTTGTTCTTTTCGTTGGATTGACACTAATATCAATTTTCATTGCACAAACTGATAATCTATATAAACCAATATACGTATATATTTATATATATACACATGAAATATTGATTAAGAAAGTAACCATTACTATAATCCTAATATGCACCACTGTAAACGGCTACTTGATGTGACCATAATGTGAATCCGTTGCACCGATCTATCCCCACCAGAAACGACATCATGATCCAGAAAAAAATGTGTAATTTGAAAAAATACGTGAATGCTGAAAGTGTAAAGTTCCATCCATGTTCCAACCGTGTACCATCCTTGGATTTTGGATTTTGAACTTACAAAACCACAGAGGCAGACCTTTTGGCTTTGGCAGGGCAATTTGCGGTGCCATGGAGCGTGAATATCTCCTTGGTGCAGACTGCAAGCCCTGAAGCCACATCCCCTATTCCGCCTATTCCCAGATTCGCTGCGCGAAGAGGCGCGTGGCAGGGACCAACCTGTGAAGCAGAAGACGGGGAGCAGTAATTGGGCAGGAGGGGCCAGGTGAGCAGGTACTGTATATATCTCATTCAATTCATATCCATTATCGATTGCATTCACACCAATTCATCTCATACCAACTCATTTTATACTCATGTCCTCATCAGATATGAATATTCGTTCAGGTTCACGCCAAGAGCTGCATTACAACCCCTACGTCCTCCTCCTACACGCTTATTTATGTCCATGGTTGGGCATCGGTCGCCCGCTTGAGCGTCATCCATTTTCGGGACTAGGCCATTCGGCGGGTGAAACGGATTCGACTTCCATGACTCCCGTCCTGCTCTCAAAATAATTAACACCCTTACAGCGGTACCTGATGAACGTGCAATTAAATGCCTTAATCCATCATTAATATCATTCCCCACCGTCAATTGTTATTTTATGATTTTTTTAAATTACAATTTATTGCAGATAATTAATAAATTATTTATTAAAATTATATCTAAAATTGAAAAAAAAACAATAATCGAATATAAATTATATTCGATTTTTCTAATTATATTTTTTATATTATATATTTATTTTTTAAATTAATTTAAGGGAAATTCGGAAATTATAAAATATTGAATGATTCGATTATATATTGATTAATGTTATTATAAATTTTATTAAAATTCTATTTTTTTAAAATATATTATAGGATTTTCGCAATATTACCTTGATACAAGGTAATTGGGTTTATCGTAGGCTTCGAGGGCGAAATTTTTATGGGAATAATATTTATTTGAATATTTTATTGCGGCTTTTATAGATTAATATCTTCTTTTTTGATGGAAAAGATGCCGTCGGATATAATGGATAGAAAACCATTTTCAAAGCGTTGGTATTGAATTTATCTGCTTTATTATTTGTAAATTGATAGCAATTCTAAAATAATTTTTGTAGGTATATTTAGTCGTAGAATTGTATATTTAATCGACCTTATACTAAACAAACATTTCTATCTTTATCGCTATTATTAAGATAATTTTACCGACGCTTTCTCCTGAAATAACGATTTAAATAATAACAAATTTTCTCCCATTCAAAGCAATTGTTCTTTGAGGTCTTTTTTATCTTTTTTTTTGTCCGCTATAAGTGTAAAATATGGCAATTGATTATAATTAAAGAAAGGTTAGGGAGAATAGAATATTTCCGTTATTATGGCTTCTAAGTCCCTGATTAAATTCGCGGAGGTCTTGGTAGGGGGAATTATAAAATCGGCCAAAAGATTCATTTCATTTTGATTCGTAGCAGCCAATTGAGTAGCTTCCGTTGCCGCCACAGGTTAAAATTAATTGATCCGTGGTTGGTAAAAAGGTCTTTTTAAATTTGAATTAATTGAATTTGAAGTATTGGTTAAAAGAGGTAATTATTTTGGTTTAATGATTTATGAAGGCGATTTTTCTAAGATAGATGATTATTTTTTGATATCTAAGCATTATTTTGCTAATGATCGGCATTTGGAATCGGTTTTAAATATATGGTTATATTAACGATGCGATATTGAATCTAATATATTCTTAGTCTATGGGGAGTAGCGAACATAGACAAAAGGACCTTAATTCTGGGAAAATGAATTCGGATCTCATTCTTGTGATGCAAATTTGGAAATCATTTAATTTGAAGATAGACCGTTGGATGCACACTTATGAATCCATCGGTGTATGGTAATTGCTTGTGCCAACGGGGAATCAACTTTTGAAGATTGCAGCCCTTTTGGTTAGGGTATCGAAGCAATATCGGTGCAATGCGCCTTGATCAATTCGACTATGTAGCATTCTACTTTACCATCCCTATTGGATGTAACCGCATTAAGAAGCATTCGATAATTGATTTCGCAATCATCCTCCATATTCAATTTACCATTTATATTAGAAC